GTATCTGCTGGTAACATCTTTTTTTGGGATTACTTTTCAGAAGGAAATATGAATGCATTCTTTTTCTTTCCCCTATTTTAATCTTGTTGCCCTGAATTTTGGAAGAAATAAAAACATCATTTTGTACTTTGTGTGTGTGTGTGTGTGTGTGTGTGTGTGTGTGTGTGTGTGTAACAAGATTACCATCTGATCTAGTTAGCAATTTAAGCTAAGTTTTTTTGCTCCTCTTCTCACCTGTCACCCTTTTGCTTTCTATATGAGATTTATGTTCCTCATTCTAGACATAAAAGGGAAGCTGAAGGTCAACAGTGGTTGTACTAACTTGATTGTAGCTCTGAATGAAGAAGAATGTGATAAACCATTGCCTATGTATGTTAATTGTTTTGCAAGCCTGGGAAACATAGTAAATAGCAAACAACGCATATAAAACATACATATAAACAAACAAGTCCTTTTTGTTGTTTATTTCTGAGCTGGGCTTATATGCTTCCTTCATTTCTTCTTTTGGAGCTTGTTTCCTTTTGTCTTTTGGCTGGGCCAGTCAGTAAGCCTCTTAGATGCACCAGAACATTATATTGGATAAAGGTTGCCAATTGTAGCTGTTTAACTGTTGGTGCTTACCTGACTGGACAAAGCTGTGGTGAAGTTTGTTTTGCCTTATATTTTGCTCATATTTTTTATATTTTATATTTGCTCATTTTTCCCCCCTGTCTTTTCTTTTGGATGCCTCTTTCTAGGCATTTCTCCATATGCATTTACCCTTACTGTGTTGGGCCATTAAAAGAGCAGACAGCCGGGCGCTGGTGGCTCATGCCTTTAATCCTAGCCACTAGGAGGCTGAGTCTGAGGATCACAGTTCAAAGCCAGCCCGAGCAGGGAAATCTGTGGGACTCTTATCTCTAATAAACAACACAGAAAACCAGAAGTGGTGCTGTGGCTCAAGTGGTAGAGCGCTAGCCTTGAGCTGAAGAGCTGAGGGACAGTGCCCAGGCCCAGAGTTTAAGCCCCATGACTGACAAAAAAAAAAAGAGAGCAGACAATGTTTTTCCCCCAATAATGTATTAAAAGTGATTCTGCTACCCATGAACATCTTGGGAAATGGATGTTTAGAATAGCCATTCTTCAACAAACAGATTACTAGATTCTTTTTTCTGTATTGTTCAGAGAGAGACATGCTTCCTAAATATGATCTAACTCACCAGTTTTTGTTTTTGGCATAGTTAAGTAGACATTTGAGTCTTTCTTGCTGTATGTAAATGCTGATCTACCGTTTATTAATGTTATGATCAAGGGCAACTTCCATAATCTTTTTGTGTGACAGGTTCCTTACCTGAATCTCTTCCTTCCATGAAGGTTATAGGGAGTATGTGCATTTGTGTGTGAGATATCTGGAGTGGTTGCAGGCACACAGTAGGCCTTCTGTACATGATAGGTGTTATCACATAACATTGGCAATGAATCAGTTCCAATCAATCCAGTGGATTGCTAGTGGTTTTCTTACTGTCTTTATATTTCAGAACTTTTATTTTGGAGAGGCAAAGCCTATATTTTATTTATTATCTTTTGCAGTTTTAAAATCATCTTTATGTAGTTGCACAAAGGAGTTGCCATTTAACAAAGCAGATGATGAATACAATGCATCTTAATCAATGTTATTTCAGAACTTTTAGAGTGATATCTATCTTGGGTCAGTTGATAGTTCACTATCATACTGACTCAAGACAGATGTTATCTCCAGACTTTAGGCTCCATATTTAGATTAAGAGTGCATTAAGGACAGAAAACCAGATTCTGAAATATTTGAATTTGCTTTATGAAGTATTTTTATTTTATGATGGGGAAGTCCAAGACATGGACACAAGAGGATTTTCTTTGTTGTGTATTTTTTTGTTGATGTTTTTAATGTACTATGTGATTTTTTTTATGTATGTTCTTCCCCGTATAGTTTATACCCTGTTGTTACTGTATTTGATTTTGATACTCTGGTATTGCATATACATTTATTTGAATTAGGGAAGGGAAGGGAAGAGAAGGAGAACAACAAAATGGTGAGACAAAGGACAAAGGGGAACCAATGCAACAGCGATATACACAAGATAGTATGTTAGAAATGATCTGTACAACTTGCAAGGGGATGCTGGGGGGGGGAGGGAAAGTAGGAGAAAAACAAAGGAAGAGGTAGCAAGTCTTACAAGAAATGTACTTATTACTTACTTATGTAACTGTAACCCCTCATACATTACCTTGACAATAAAAAGTAAATAAGAGAAGGGGAATGAAATAGTAGCAGTTATCATGTATTAGATGTCAATTATATTACAGAAATAACTGTGTAGAATTGTATGATTAAGAAGTTCATTGGAACATTACTCATGTAAACAACAAAATGTAATAATCTATGTGTAACATATTTACCCTTCCTCTAGTTGTAGTTTTCTTAGAATGTGAAGCTGGTATGGCAAGTTGCTATGGAAAAGAGGGTATGAGGATACAGAACTTATTGAAATGTGGTGTTTACATGTAGACTTTTATGTTATCTTGGAGTTTTAGCATTTAGTAGAGAAGGAAACAGGAGCTCATCCCCAACAAAACTGCTATTTCCTCATAGTGTGTAGTACCCAAGAGACTTTACATCTGCTACTAATCAGCCAAGGAGAACAGAAGGCCAGTAGAGAGGGAAAACCAAGTGTACTAATGGCTAAGGGAGTGGAATTAGTGATGCTTGACTCTCTTCCCTAGGTAGTCTTTCTTGATGACAAATGGCTAACTGGTCTTTGAACTAACCCAGATAAAGAATAAGTAATATTTTGCTTAGAGAAGCCTCTGAAGTTACCTACTAAAAAAGCAAAATAAAGAACAGAGGAAAGGAAATAGAAATTCATAAAGGAAAGGATAGAAGAAAAGCTTGATTTTGTCATAGCTCTGTGGGATTCCATTAGGTTCTCTTAATCATGATAGCTTGAGAGTGTAGAATGGAGAAAAGAAAAATAGATAAAAATACAACATCCTGAATCATGAACCCAATTACACTTATGTGGCTGTTACAGTAAAGGAAAAATAATTAGTTTTGTTTCTTAGAGCTCAAGCATTTTTATAAAATTTTTTGTTGTCTGAGTTGCCTGAACACTTTGAATAACAGACCTTTGTGAGAGGTTGAAGCAATTACTGTGTAAATGTAAGGTAATGTAGAGTAATTTTATTCCATGTTCCAGAGTGTTCTGAGACTGATACATAGTATTTAATATGTGTTCTACTGCTGTAATTTGTGGTGGTGGCATATTGTTTACATCTTTTAATATTTAGGTCAGTGAATTCCAACATGAAGATTTCATGATTTAAGTGCTTTGCTCAGGTTGACTTCAATTTTTGACAGATTGTACAATTCACAAACATTATGTTTTGAGCAAAAAATATTGTTGTGCTGCAGTCCTTTGTAATAAAGAGAATTGGTTGTATCTATCATTACTATAATGATAATGAAAGTACTGTATTTGTTCCCATTGAACTTGAATCTAATATTGTTCATTTACTATTCAATACTTCCAGGATTCTAAACCTCATATAATTCTCTTGATTTACAACTTGGTATGTATTTTTATTGGGGTATTTGCCCCCCCCCCGCAATCTTGTATGTACTATGCTGTATGTTATGTCTGATTCAGCTTTATTGGGCATCTGTGTAAACATACTTGTCAGTTCAGAGGGACAATGTACAAATGGCCAGTAGGGATTATGGAAGGTTGGGTCCTGCTTTTGTGGCATGTCTGATTGTCTCATGAAACCTATGCAATGGGAAAGGAGGGAACAGCCTGGCTTGTTGTAGGGACTTTTGCTAAATACAGAATTTGTGACAGGGTCACACACTCCAACGCTTCTGTATGTGCAGTGGCTGTAGGGAGAAAGTAGCCAGCATAGGACAGACACATGGGGGTCTTGAGAGAAAATGATCTCTTTCTGTCTATCTGTTTCTGCCTGTGTCTGTCTCTGTTTCCATAACCATCTCAGTCCCCACCTCTCCCTCCCTCCCCCCTTGCCAACAGCTGTTATTCAACTCCAGCTTCTAATTACCACAAAAGAATGCAGGCATAGAAGGGTTGGGTCCTATTTTTTAGGGAAAAAAACATAGAGAAAAGTTTTAGGTGATAATCTAATTTGTAGGTTTTGGTCAATAATTAAAAACATTTAAAAGACCTCAGAAGATTATGCATGTGTGTATCTGTCAGCTTATAGCCTCTGGTCTACATTGATTGTATACACTGGTCAGTCACAGACAATATTTATTGCCCACATCTGCTGCTCATCTCTTTTTGAAGACTGCACATGCATCTTCAGGCTTTTTTTTTCTTTCCAGTCTCTCCTTTTCACTCCTGGAGCCCATGGAAGAGAATTTAGATAGTGTACAAGCTCTCAGTATAATTTATGTGTTGAAACACTGGTGGAGACTTGGTTCTTTTAAGCCAAAAAGCTGAGCAGTGCAAAATCTGAAGAGACAATCAGAACTCATTTAAACAAAATGTCCAGAAGGAGCAGAGCTGGGATAAGCAAGTAGAGAAACCGAGTGAGATTGGATTAGCCAGGAAGGACGTTGCAAAAGCACAAGTGAAGGCAATCTGACATCAGTGCTCAGCAGCAATGTTGGTAGAAAGATGGGAAGTCATTTCTCTACCTGGGGATAGAGATTAAATATAGGTTAACTGGTCAAATTTGAATTTCAGATAAATAAGATTTTTCTTTTGGTGTAAGTATGGGCAAAATATTGCATTAGACATGCTATGCAAAGACATTAGTCATTGTTTATCTAAAATTCAAAATGAAAGTGGCCTCCTGTGTTTGTACTTGTGAGCCAGGTCAAAATCCAGAGTCTAAGCCAAACTGTCCACTAGCAATAAGCCAGAATACAGAGAAAAAAAATGTAATACATTCTTTAATAGTGTTTGGCCTGGCTGGCTGGTAAGGAAGTATTGTCATGAAGTAGCTGAACATTAAAAATAAATATAAAACATAAATATATATACTATACATTTATATTTTATGAGAAGTATTCACATGAAGAGGAGAGGACCAGGCTAAATGTATGCATAGCAAATGTGGATGTGCATAAAAAATACAGTTCAGGGAGTCCAGGAAGATGGCGGAGGAGAAGCTGGAATCTGAACAAGCTCTCGCATAGAAAGCAGTTTTAGAGTTCCAGTGAACAGTCCTAAGCCAGAGAATCACACCAAGTGTGCCATCACAGGACAGAGAGACAAGAGAGGGAAGCCAAGGCAAAAAGACACATCTGAGCGCTCGCCAGCAGCCGCCGCGGCGGCGGCGGCAGGGTCGCGGCAGAGAACGCAGCCGGGGCCATACCTGAGCGCTCACACAGAGAGTCCAGGACGAAGGAGCCAGACGCAGCGGGCAAGCGGATTCTACTCAACACCAGAAAGAACCAACAAGGAGCGGACATCTTCATCCTGCAGCTTGCAGACCAGAGACGACTCAGGATCCAAGACTGGGCGTGAGTAGAAGCCCGACGTCCTCACTCCTTCTCAGGGAGCAGAGGAGGGAAGGCCACCCCTCCCCCCCCAGCACCGGTGATCTCCATCTTGGATACCGACAAAGCTCGGAGGAGCTGCCAGCTCCAAACCAGGCCTTGGAATAAAACGAATCATTTAGCAGGTCACAAGAACTTAACGGCGAAGTGACCTGCCAGACTCGGCTCCATCCAGGGAAAAGTCACCCAGCTCAGGCACCAGCCATTGG